TCAAGCCGGAAATTCTCAATGATTTTGGCCCTTGGATGCTTGCAACCAGAACAAGAAGGTGTAAATCTCCCCAGAAGAACCAACAGACCAAGGAGGAGAATAGAAAAGGGGAAAACAAAAGCAAGAACACTGTGAGCGGATCTCGGTTCAACTCCTTGCAGGAAGAGGAAAAAGAGGCTGATGGTGAAGGGGAAGAACCGAAAACAGAGGAAACAAGCCCAGAAAGAAACCCACAAGGAAAAAGCCCTGAGCCTAATTTCAAAGGGGATAATAAGACACAGCACTCGCAAAAACAAGCTGATGAGAGTTCAAAGAAAGGCAGAGCAGATGAGCAAAAGAAGCAAGACAGGACACCATTGGAAAACAAACTAAAACAGAGCAGCAAGTCAAGGAAGGAAAACCAGAAGGAATCACCAGATGCTCCCCCGATTGCGTCCAAGAACACGGGAACAATGACATCATCTCAATAGGCTTCCTCTTCAGCAGTGAATGCTGTCCAGGGGTGAGCTGGAAAGATGAAAAAAGGGGAGACAGGCAATGAATCGGTTCAGGGGAAAGTGCAGGGAACCCAACAGAAGCACAAGAGTGAGCCGAAAGAGAAGAAGCCACCAGACGGAGTAACCAAAGGCGGCAAAGCCAAGCAGAGCTCACCAAGCATGAACCAAGAATGCAAGAATGGCGGGACTACTCAGGAAAGCCAGCAGGAGGATAACACCCTCTCCAGAAAGATTGTCTTCAGCCCGGTGAAAGAGGGGGCAGAGAAGGAAAGGAAACTCAGCTCGAAACCTTCTGAAAAGGTGGAGAGTAAGAAAGAAAATGGTGCAACGGCAATGGCCGTTGACTCCAAATGATTCCCTTCTCCTGGGAGATTCAGGAGCCTCTCTTTGTCAGTTTTGATGATAAAGATCTTCTCCTGGAATTGTAGGGGTGCCAAGCACCGGAAGTTTAAACCAACCTTTGATTTGTATATGACTGCTAATTCGCCAAATGTGGTTTGTATCCTCGAACCGAGAATTAGTGGCAAGTAGAGGTGGCAATTAGGATCCAAATCCATGAATCCAATCCAATCCATCCACCAAATTATCCACCTAATCCAATCCATTTAAATCCAATCCATTTGATCCAAATCCAATTGGATTGATGGATTCATGGATCAATCCATGGATCCAAATGGCGAATTACGATTTGGTACCTATATTTTTTATATTTTACATTTTGGTACCTAAATTTTATATTTTTATACGAAAAATATCATTGGAAAATTACATTTTGGTACCTAAATTTTTTCATTATGACATTTTAGTACCAAAACTTTTCAAATTTTACATTTTGGTCCAAGCCTTGGATGTCATTTGGATTCATGGATCAATCCACCAATCCATTTGATCCAATCCATTGGATCCAATCCGTTTGATCCATGGATCCACCAATCCAATCCACGAATCCACGAATCCGATCCAATTGCCACCTCTAGTGGCAAGGATGCTCTTGATGTTATCAAAACCCTAGGTTTTGATTCATGGGAAATCTCAGAAGCTTCAGGCTTCAGTGGAGGCATATGGGTTCTTTGGGATAGCAATCAGCTTACCTTAGAGCTCACTGACTGCCACAAGCAATTCATCCACCTCAAATACTGGAGTGGGAACCAGGAAGTGGGAGTGATCACAGCTGTTTACGCCAGCCCGAACGAGCATGATCGAAAGGAGCTCTGGCAGGAACTCAGAACCATTGGGAGAAGAACTAGAACTCCATGGATGCTGACGGGGGACTTCAATTCTATCACAGGACCATCTGAAAAGATGGGAGGAGCGCCCTTCAACCAAGGCAAAGTCAGGGAATTTAATGAATGCATTAATGATTGTGGCCTTGTGGATGTTGGATTTTCAGGGCCGAAGTTCACATGGTTCACCAAGGAATCCCGGCTAAGAGAAAGACTGGATCGCAGCCTGTGCAATCTGGAATGGATCCAGCAATTCCCTGCCACCTCGACCTTGCATTTGATCAAGCTCAAGTCTCATCATAGACCAATCCTTACCTGCAATGAGGAGAACCAGAGCAAGAATAAGAGGGTGAGACGGTTCCAGTTCCTGGCACCCTGGCTGACTCACCTTGATTTTTTCCCTTTCATGTCAAGTTCCTGGAATGGTGGTGTTGATTTCCCTGTCTCCTTGAAGACTCTTTCCGACAAACTGCAGGACTGGAACAAGGAAATTTTTGGTAATATCTTCAAAAGAAAGAGGCAGCTCTCCAACCGTCTCCAAAAAATTGAGAAGTTTAATGAAACCTCTCAAAGCAGAAGTTCCTTGGAGATGGAGCAAAGAATCCGAGTTGAGTTGGAAGAAACAATTTGGCAGGAACAGGTCCTTTGGATGCAAAAATCGCGTGCAAACTGATGTTGTTTGGAGACATGAACACTCGTTTCTTTCACACTAGCACTCTGACCAGAAGGAGAAGAAACAGGATTACCTGCCTCAAAGCGGATGATGGAAACTGGATTTCTGATTCTGATGCCCTCTTGGAAATGGCAAGACAATTTTTTTGTGATCTGTTCAGAAGTGAGGATCAACAGCTCCAGCATACTATTCCGTGTTTATTCCCTGAGATATGTCGAACCAGAATGGCCAGAATCAGTGATCCTCCTTCCAATGAGGAAATCAAAGCCATCATCAATGATATGAATGGGCTTAAGGCACCGGGAAAGGATGGATTTCATGCCCTGTTCTTCCAAAAATGCTGGGATAGTGTGGGGGAGGACTTTTGCAGATTTATTAATGAATGCTTCACCTGCCATAACCTGATCAGCAGGATTAATGAGACATTGCTTGTCTTGATCCCCAAGAATGAAGCCTCTGTGTCCATAAAGGAGTTTAGGCCAATTAGCCTCTGCAATGTTGGCTATAAAACGATTGCAAAATGCTTGGCTAACAGGATCAAAGGGCTAATGCCAATCCTTGTGAAGCAAAACCAGACTAGCTTTGTACCTAAACGCCATATTACTGACAATATTCTGATTTTGCAGGAAACAGTTCATTCGATGGCCAGAAAAGCAGGAAAGAAAGGAATGATGCTCATGAAAATCGATCTGGAAAAAGCCTATGATCGGATTGAATTGAAATTTCTGGAGTAGACCCTGTTCCTTGCTGGTTTTCCCCCCAATTTTGTGTCAATTGTGATGCAGTGTGTTTCTTCCACCCAAATGCAGGTACTCTGGAATGGGGGGAGAATCTGAAAGCTTCTCCCCAAGCAGGGGGCTTCGCCAAGGGTGCCCTCTTTCCCCTTACTTGTTCACTTTGTGTGTGGAGAGACTGAGCCACTGTATTGAGAATGCTGTTAAGGACAAGAGATGGAAGCCAGTGAGACTTTCTCCACAAGGACCCCCTTTATCCCACCTTTTTTTGCAGATGACTTGGTGCTGTTTGCTGAAGCAAATCCGAGACAGGCAGAGGTGGTTATGGATTGCATTGAGGCTTTCTGTTCTGCCTCAGGAGAGCAAATCAGCAAGGAGAAGTCCAGAGTGATGTTCTCCAAAAACACCAAAAGCTCAAACCGAAGGGATGTCTGCAGAAGGCTGGGAATACAGGAGACTGAGGACTTGGGAAGGTACCTGGGAGTACCTGTGATACATGGAAGAGTCTCTAAATCCACCTTCAAGTACATCCTGGAGAAGATTGATCGAAAACTCACAGCTTGGAAGGCCAAAACACTCTCCTTGGCTGGACGAGTTACTCTTGCTCTCTCTGTCCTTAACGCTATTCCCACTTATGCTATGCAAACATCAATGTTGCCTGTTTCACTTTGTGATGACATTGATCGCAGAATTCGTTGGTTTGTCTGGGGATCTCAAGAAGGAAAAAGGAAAGTGCACTTGGTGTCTTGGGAGAAGGTGTGCTCCCCAAAACAGCAAGGAGGATTGGGACTCAAATCAGCTCGAAGTCTCAACCTGTCCTATATGATCAAATTGGCCTGGGCAATCCTGAATAACAAGGATGATCTCTGGGTGAAAGTGATGCAGGGGAAGTATTTTCATCAAAGAGAAGGAAGAATCACGGGCATGAAGAAAAGCGACCATTCAAGTCTCTGGAGAGGAATCCTCAAAGCTTTTCCTGTGATGCAGAAAGCCACTGTCTGGAGCATTAGGGATGGGAGAACAACGTAATTCTGGAATCACCCATGGCTTGATCAAGAGACCCTGCTGAAAGACTTCAGCTTGAAGAATCTAACAGACGATGAGAGATACTGTTCTGTGGCTGAGATGACTAATGAACAAGGTGAGTGGGATTGGAACAAGCTTAATGGAATCCTCCCTAATGATTGTCTGGTGCGAATTGCAGGTATGGAAGCACCTGTGAAAGGAATGGGAGAGGATACCACGATCTGGGGGCTGGAAAAAGACGGAAGGTTCATACTTAAATCTGCTTACCTGCTGGCAGCAAATGAGACTGGAGAGGAAGTTCAAACTGACTGGAAGAAGCTCTGGGAGTGGAAAGGGCCAAGTAGAGTGAAACACTTCCTCTGGCTAGTCCTACACAACCGGCTTCTTACGAATCACGAAAGAACCAGAAGAAAGCTAACCATAGATGGCAGCTGCAAGGACTGCAATGAGGAGCTGGAGACGATTGAACACATTCTAAATGCAGGAAAACAGAGGGGGTCAGAAATTTCTTCAAGATGGGGCATCCAAGTGGAGATAACAGAAGTTTCCAGCAATGGATCATGGACAACATTAAGGATGCTGACAGGGGAACTGACTTTGGCATCTCCTGCTGGATGATTTGGAAACAGAGGAACGGAGAAATTTTGGATGGAAAAAAGTACTGAGGCAGGATTGATTTGTAAAATCATGTCTTGGATACAGGTGTATAAACAAGCAAGGATTAACGAAGAAATGAGCATCGTGGCAACTAAAAACACCTACCTTCAAGCCTCCATTGCTTGGAAACCACCCAGAGAGAGTTGGATTCAAATCCAAACCGATGGATCAGTGATTCAAAACTCAGGAAATGCAGCAGCAGGGGGACTCCTTCGTGATCATCTTGGGAGATGTCTCGATGCATTCATTTGTAATTTGGGAAGCTGCACTATCACCATGGCCGAACTTAGAGGAGCAAAAGTTGGACTTCAGCGAGCGTGGGATAGAGGATTTTGCAAGGTGGAGCTAAACCTCGACTCCTTGACAGCGCTCACCATCATGAAGAACTGCAATGATACAGACCATCGCCACGGACTGATTGCAGCACGAATTGGAAAGCTTTTGAATCTTGACTGGGAAGTTACTTTATCACATGTGTATAGAGAGGGAAATTTTGCCGCCGATTTCTTGGCGAGCAAGGGTCATTTGGCCACTTTTGGTACACATTCCTTCGATGTGTACGAGCCTAGTCTGTGTAACTGGCTGTTGTACGACTCCATGGCCATATCCATGGATCGATCTATTATGTTAATGAATTAGGACGCAATGCCGTCCGTCTTCTTACCCAAAAAAAATGTCATCTTCATTTCTTCTACGATCAGATAAAAACTATATCTTTAAATTTTCAATGGATGGATGCTTATTTTTCCAATTTTAGTGGTCACAAAGATTTGGATGGGTTTCATTCAGACAAATTCTGAATATCTCAACGTAATCTTAGAGTATTTAATTTACAGTTCTCATATCAAAATCTTCACAAATCCCAAGTCATATGAGTGGGTTATACAAATTTCATGTTCATAAGTTAATTTCCGTTTTAAAAGGTCCAAGATAGTAGATAAAGATCTTGTTGGGTTTCATTCAGACGGATTAAGATGTCGACATAATCTCAGAGTATTTGATTGATAGTTATATATTCAAATCCTTACAACTCGCAAGAGTCAAGACATAATAGTGAGTTATACAAATTTCACCTCTTGATTTTGATTTTAAGATATAGAACGCAAATATAAGTATATAGTAAAAACTAAATCACCGTCGTCATTCATAAAAAAATGTATATAGTAAAGACTGTTTACTTGCAAATGTCACAAAAATCAAGCAATTTTTTTATAAAGTGCATGTTGCATGTTATTTAAAGGGTTTGGAAAACCTTCTTGTCCTCGCATAAAGATTGGGCTAAGAAGGAGAGGGACTCCAATGAGTTTTGAAAATTTCAGGCGAGACTGGCCGGGCCGAGACCTTGTGATTGATTATGAAAATGAAATAGAGACATACTTATGTCGTAAATAGAAGACAATACTCTAACATGAACAAACCCATGAAAGGAGGAAAGTCCCTCGTCCTTAGTCACCAGTTTCATATCGATAGCAAATCAGGGCAATCAATCCCCAGTCAAAGGTTACATATTCAATTGAATGTGATTGATTATGAAAATGAAATAAAGATAGTCTTTCTTAAGTTAAGTTATCTTACTTTTCCTTCTACAAGCGAGCTTATACGGGGGAGAGGAGGGAATATATTCGGCCAAATGAACGAAGTTGCTCGATTGAAAGGAAAAGGGCATATATTTCCATGCCACTTTGTTTTGCTCGGCCGAGCCGACGAATTCCTTCGGCTCATGGCAAAAGACGTCGACCTCTTCTATCAACTTCAAATAGGGCTCTAGGAAAAGCTCTCATGCACCAGGTCAGCCCGGCTGATTCCAGCGCCTAGTGCCTTGTCGACCTGACCGAATCCTTGAGTAAACAAATGATACATAGACTTTGAATTGACCAGAGTTTGGCATCTGGTACTATTACCAAACCCTTAAAGATAAATCTAGATCTTAATTCTACAAATATCACACACTAAAATTAATTTAATTAGAAACAAAAATTGACGGTTATGATTCGTCGTAATATATGCAATAAATTACATGCACAATCTTAGTGTTTAGGCTCTATGATTTAGAAAACTAAGACCTAGGATTCACTCATCAAGGGTTTGGGTATAGTATCATACCTAATAATTTGGTTAATTCGAGGTCTAGATAGTGTTTTCTTGTTCAAGGGATGTCGTACCCTAGGTTTTACCAAAGGTACGATATAAGCCACCATATATATGTGTGTGTATGTGTGTGTTCCTTGCCAAGAGGCCAAGTGTGAGAAAGTTGAGAGGTCATGCAACTCTTTTAATCCAAAATCTTGGCAAAGGAGGGTAGCTTAGAGTGTTGATTATTATGGAAGGGTTGTAAAGTATTCAACTACTTAGTTCATGATTCTTATACACTAAGTAGTTGGGGGCATTTGTTTACACCTAAAAATAATATTTTACCATAGTGATTATTCACAAAGCATCTATTGTGTTTATAAGGTCAGATCAATTGTATAAATTAATGTTATTTAGACTGGACCTCATGGTACTAGATTTTTAAGTATGAGATGATCACGGTGGTCGTGAGATTAGACCACGTTGGTCGCGAGGCAAGGTCTAGAAAACCTTCGTCATGAGATTTATATCTACACCACGTTGGTCACTATGCGAGATCTAGACGTAGGTGGTCACGAAATCTAGATCTAGACCATATTGGTTGTGAGATCTAGACAGGCTTCGTTGTGAGATCTAGATCTAGACCATGTTGGTAGTGAGAATAGACCACGTTGGTCGCTAGGGGGGATCTGGACAGCCTTCGTCTTGAGATCTAGATCTAGACCACGTTGGTCGCAAAATCTAGACAACCTTTGTCATGACATCTAGATCTAGAATGCGATGGTCGAGAGATCTATACAGCCTTCGTCGCGAGATCTAGACAACCTTAGTTGCAAGATGTAGACCACGTTTGTCAGGACTCCATGGCATGGCTTGAGAGAGAGCAAGCTGCCTTCCATGACTTCAACGAGAGAGAGAGAGAGAGAGAGAGAGAGAGAGAGAGAGAGAGAGAGAGAGAGAGAGAGAGAGAGAGGCACCTAGATGGTTGAAGGAGCAACCACTACTCCAGAGAAGATGGAGCAGTTCTTTGCATCGGTTATCAAGGAGACAATTTTCTATGACGGTGACCTTCTTATTGCTATAAATAGGAGGAGGCGTCAATAGAGAAAGAGGTTTCCAAAACCAAATATTGGACACACATGTCAAGTTTATCTTTTACTTTTCTCTATCATGTAGCCATAAGCGTAGCTTTTAGTTTGGAGCTCTCACTGAACTTCCGTAGGAGTAGCAACAACTTAACTTAGATTTCGTTGTCCAAAAAAGCCAAAGGTGCAATTAATCTCAATTCAACGCACGTTTTCTCACAAGAAAACAATCTGCCATAGACAAAACACGAAGGAAAATCACGCCGATTATAGCCTTCTTGGATGACTTTTCTAGGGAACTTATTTTTTCGATTTCTTTGTGTTGGAAGAGTTAGATATGTGATAGAAGTTATAAAATTTGTTCCACTGTTGTCATATTTAAATAAAATTGACCGATCAATATAATTGGAAAGTTGGTGGCAAATAGTAAAAAAATTTGGCTATGCCTCTTAAATAAACCGCACAAGAGGCAACTAATGAACCCTCTAGCCTTAATTATTTTCTATTAGATTACTAACCCAACTTTATTGATTCAACTGTTTGAGTTTGATTTATTTTAAGATTGTTACATTTAGCAAGACTTTAGAATGACATAAGGTGTCATTTGTTTCATGGATTAGATCATAGATTTGGTGAACAAATTTAATTGATAAAGCATTTTGATGGTTAAAATCCATGGATCCCACGAACTTACAAGTTCCACTTGGGAAGGGTTTAAAATTCATGATGGTAATTTGATGAGCTAACGACCAAAGGAAATGAGGTGATGATAAAAGATGTCCAAAGTAAATGAGAGGTTCCTTTTAATTGCATGTGGTTGCATTTTGTTTGCCTTTGTATTATTTGAATGTGACATAATTAACTTAGGCAGTGAACTAACGATAAATTTGAAAGAAAAGCAAGAATCAGAGAAGATTTAGTCCCTTTAGTCCCTTCGGGGACATCCGATAAAATTGGAACGATACGGAGAAGATTAACATGGCCCCTGCGCAAGGATGACAAGCATAAATCGAGAAAAGAACTAACGATAAATTTTTATTCATTTTAATTATAATTGTTTTTGTTAATCATAATATTTACTCTATGGCAAAAAAAAAAAAAAAGTAAAATACATATAGTGTCACTTAATTTTAGGAATGGGTTAAGGCGTGTCACTAAACTTCATTTAAGGAATCGTGTATCACTACACTCACTCTTTTATGCATAGGGTATCACTTAACTCTATGTTCAGTGCACCGGGTTAGAGTTTATTAAATATACTTAGCTTAAATATACTTAGCAATACTATGTTTTCTAAATTTCAAAAGTAGTCTTTTGAACTTAGGAACAACATTATTTTTCAAATAATTTTACTTCACAAGGGCTCTGATACCCATTATAGTTTGACTGTTCTTGTCTAGGAACTACTTAGAGATATTTTATAAAGTAAGCTAATTTTTACGCATTCGTCAAATTTTATTCAACATTTTGAATTTTATTATGACAAATTTTATTCAAAGCATTGTAATGCACTCATCTATCTTTTCATATACATGCTCATAATCAATATTAAGGAAATCATCTAAACTATTACTAGTCTTAACAATTTATCTTTATATAGGAAATCTTTATGAGAATAATTAGGTTTAAACTCATGTAACCTAGTGGTAACAAATTTATTGAATATTGTCAAAATATACTTCCATAGCCACAACCTTCACGTTTGTGACAGTTATAGCCACAACATTTGAAATACACGAAATAACCAGAATTTTTATGGATATTTGACAAATCTAGCCATTTCTGTTACAAACTTTAATGGTGTAAGAGATTGCTTCAATTAGGCTAATGACACGCTGACTAGGATACCAAATTGACTCCAACGTCACCAACAACTCATCCTCACTTGCAACGTAGATGCCACGTCATAATTTATTTTAAAAATATTTAGGCAAAATACACTTTCATAGCCACAACTTTCACATTTGTGACAGTTATAGCCACAACAAATTATCAGCAAGCTTCTTCCGCTTGAAATGATGGTTCCAGTTGCTCTTGAAGTGTCGTATGCACCACCTTTGGGACCACTTCCAGACTGGATATAAACCTAAGATGGCAGCTCTAATGCCGGCATGCCGATAAGAGATTATTGTCAGGTTCGTCCTCCTAGTGACGTGGAGCTGAATTTGCCGGAAAAACCATCCATAGCTATCAG